TTCTGGTTTCCTTGGTTCCCTTCTCCTTACTCCTCAATATTTTGTGCTTAGAGTCACAACCCATTAAGGTCTTTCAATTAACTTGAATGGATCAGGCCTACAGAGCACATTACTCGTATCCCCATCGTGGGGAATGCACCTGGGGTTTCGTGGAACACAAAGGCTAAGACAGCAGTTATACATGTGAGCCCAACTAACCTATTTGATATTTAATAAAAATTGCGTGCAGCAAGCTATGCCATCATTTTATGGTTTGTGTTCTTGACAATACCAGGGCTTCTGTTTCCACCTCAGTTACAAGTAGCTGGATGTTTCTGGAGGCTCCTCAGAGGCATCACGCTACCACTATGTTTTTTATGATATGAAGGTGTAAGCATAATTTCTGCCCAGGCTCAACACCAAATTCTGTAGTTTCACTTTCCTGCTCTACTATAATTGAATCTAGGCTAACATTTATTTTAAAAAATGGCTGCCTAATATTAGGTCCCTTAAGTCAGCATTTAGGCACCTAAATAAATGGCCTGTTTTTTGAAAGTGCAGAATACCAAGTGTCATAAGAACCAATGGAAGCTGGGTACTAGGCACTTCTGAAAATCAGGCCGCTTATTTCGGTACTTTAATATGCACAATCGGGTGTACATTTAGGCAGCCTTTTTGGAAAATGTTGGTCCTACTCTACATTTTACTGCTTAGGATTGACACTCTTTTGTCATGAAAAGCTCAAATACAATCATTTTGTCTCGCTAGAGCAAGGCAGTAGTAACCCTGCATATTTCTGCTGTTCCTACAATCCCCTTTTGGTTTTGTGAACACTAAAATAATCCCAACCAATATCAGGGCCTGTTGTACTAAGTATTGCACATACACATAGGAAGAGACGGTCCCTGCTGCAAAGAGCTTATCAGCTGAATAAGCAAGGCAGACAAGCTGGGAGAAAGGAATTATTACCATCATACCCAGTTTGCAGATGGGGAACTGAGGCACAGAGAGATTAAGTGACTTGTCCAGTCACAAGTGGCATTAGTGGCAGAACTAGAAATTGAACCTAGGCCTACCACGAGACCATCCTGCCTCTCAATATGAATTTGTTGCATGTTAAAGGCTTCAGAGGATTTTCTCATGTGGTTTATTTCACTGGAGTTTCTTTATAGTCTCTTCTCTATGGGGAGGCCTAAAATATGCACATCAGCTGGCCAAGGTAGCCAGCTGTGATCCTAACAGCAGACATTTGCACATGGAGAATTTTTAATTCAACTTTTTTATTGGACCTGAGATAATTTAAAGTATGAATTAATTCAGTTTTCATGAGGTATTTATTTACCAGCTTGTGACTGTTGCAGAGAAGTTGCAAATGTAGGTGAGTCAGAAAAAACTCTGTCTTGCTGTGACAGGGAAGTGGATCTAACTACCACATAGAGCAGGGGTGGCCAACCTATGGCTCTGGAGCCACATGCAGCTCTTCAGAGGGTAATATGCAGTTCCTTGCATAGGCACTGACTCCAGGGCTGGAGCTACAGATGTGAACTTTCCAGTGTGCTGGGGGGAACTCACTGCTCAACCCCCTGCTCTGCCCCAGGCCCTGCCCCCACACCACCCCTTCCCCCAAGGCCACTGCCCCTTCCCCCAAGCCTGCCATGTCCTCGCTCCTCCCCCTCCCCCACAGAGCCTCCTGCACATGCAAAACAGCTGATTGTGGCAGGCAGGAGGCGCTGACTGGTGAGGCTGCTGGCAGGCAGGAAGCACTGGAGGGCGGGAGCTGATGGGGGGCTGCTGACTTATTACTGTGGCTCTTTGGCAATGTACATTGGTAAATTCTGGCTCCTTCTCAGGCTCAGATTGGCTACCCCTGACATAGAGGTTGGGAATGGGAAATTGGTGACATTGATTGGATCTTCTGAAGCAAGCACTCTCCGGGGCAACCTTTGAAAGGAATACTGATGAGAGCTGACTCATCCAATACATCAGACCATTTCCTCTTCTGGGCTCCCTGAGTCAGTGGAGATCCAACTGATTAGATCAACTTGGGAGAGGAAAACAGGGCTCTAGGTGCTGCTACTCTGCCTAAGAGCAATTTTACACCTACTTCCTTCTTTAGCATCTCTCCTTTGACCTGAATTACCCAGCCTTCAAGGAACATTCATGCCTCAACATTCCATATGATAGCTTCCCAAACAAATCTGTCACAGAGCCTTCAGGCCTCAGCATTACATCCATTAACTCCCCAGTATTGCTCTAATTAGAACCCTGCAGATGGTACATAAACAAAATATGAAACAGTAAAAGTGTTATTTACTTTTTCTTTTGCTCATTTCCTTATTGTCCCCTCTCTCATTGGAGCTGGCCAGGAGTGAGAGGGAAAAGAGAAGATTCCAGTCTCTACATTATTTCTGCAATTTTGGACAGAAACCCAAAAACGCTCTTGTCTAAAATAGGGGGATATAAATGGTATACTCTGGTTTTAATGTTTAATGGTCATGAGTTTAGGATGGTTGCAATGCACACAGGTGATAAAATTGAGTGAGTTACACAGATCGTCTCAAGTGCTGCTAACACCTTCATAGCAGACCACATGGTCACCTACTCTCCACATGCCACATATTTTGTACAAGAAAAACTATTTTAGAAGCAATTTAGAGATTTTTTTCATTGTATTTTTTGATTGTATCTGATTTTTTTATTCTGTCTCTCCACCTGTAAAGTCAGACTGTGTTAACCTCATTAGTACAACTATACAGCCTTCAGAGAGAGGGGAAAAATATAACAAATATAGTTTAGAAAGCTTGATGAGGTATCCAAAAGAGCTTTTCTGTACATAAAAATGTAATTGTAAAATCTGATATCCTGGGACCAAGTTTAACAGGAGCCACTTGCCAATTATCCTGCAAAGAGATGACCCCCAACCATGGAAACTTGCATAGACTGAGATCTTGGAGTCCATATTCATTTTCAAAATATTTAAGTATAGGTGCTTCTGTGACAACTATTTCTGATTCTCAAAAGTTTATCTCTTGCCACTCATCCCCAGTGCCATTTCATACTGTCTTCAAGCAACATTCTGAGGGGAGCACTTAATTGTAACACATTAAGGATGAATTTACTTAACTATATTAACATTTCCATGGCTTTTTTATGAGCTTCTCATTTGCATAATTATATACCTCCCTTGGGTCCACTCAAACTCCTACTGTAGTGTATTTGCACAGTGCCTAGCATAGTGGGGTCCTGGTCCATGACAGGGGCTCCTAGACAGTGCAATAATACAAATCAATAATCATTAACAATAGTGGTGATTGGCCCACAATAACAGCCTAAGTAGAACAAAATTGAATAGAGTGGTAAGATTCACAGGAGGTAGGGCCTGTGCTGCAGTGAGCTCTGATTTGGGCCTTAAGTGAAAGACAGTCCACGCCCTTTACTCTAACTGGTTGTAAGAGCTAGAGAAAAGCAAACTGAGGTCCAGATTCTGGGGCAGGGATCCACTCATATGCATTCATTTTCAGGATTTAAACCTGACTTTGAAAAGTTTCTTGTTAAAATTAAGGATGTGAGAGCTAATTTCATTTCATTTGGAGCCCATCTGAAAATTATGAGTTGTAAGTTTAGAACAGAACTTGATGTTTTTGAGGTTCAAGTTCTGAGTGGCTCTGGCACTATTGGAGTTCTGATCTGCATATTTCATTGATGTTTTTTAAATATTTCCCTGACATCCCAGAATTTTTTTAAAACAAGTATCTTTACTGTTTTTTAAAAATATCACAGGCTTCAATTTAGATACATATTTTAAAACACATTCCCCTGGGAAAACAATGGTTCAAATTAAGACACTGAAATGTTTGTAAAGCTTGGAAAAAGTCACAAAATCTAAACCCTTTAAAAAACTTGTTTAGCCCCTTCCTGTATAAAATTGCTTAATTCATTGATTTTTGAAAAGTATACAGTAGATATATTTAAAATAATTAATGGGGTTAAAACGAATGTGTATTAGATTTGCAGGATGGGGAAGATTTGGGATAATTTACCACTAAATCCAGAGGCAGATTCATTTTTTCATTTGAAGGTAGTTTAGCTTCGGACCCTGGTATGCCTGTTCATTTACCCCCACAAAACACATGGGTGGGGGTGCTGTGGAAGGAAACCAGCAAGAATGACAGGTTTCAGAGTGGCAGCCATGTTAGTCTGTATCAGCAAAATAAATGAGGAGAACTTGTGGCACCTTAGAGACGAACACATTTATTTGGGCATAAGCTTTTGTGGGCTAAAACCCACTTCATCAGTTGCATGCAGTGGAAAATACACTAGGAAGATATATACACACACAGAACATGAAAAAATGGGTGTTGCCATCCCAACTGTAACGAGACCAATTAATTAAGGTGGGCTGTTATCAGCAGGAGAAAAAAAAAGCTTTTGTAGTGATAATCAGGATGGCCCATTTCAAACAGTTGACAAGAAAGTGTGAGTAACAGTAGTGGTGGTGGTGGGGGGGATTAGCATGGGGAAATTTTTTCTCCCTAGTATTACTCACACCTTTTCAACTGTTTGAAATGGGCCATCCTGATTATCACTACAAAAGCTTTTTTTTTTCTCCTGCTGATAACAGCCCACCTTAATTAATTGGTGTCGTTACAGCTGGGATGGCAACACCCATTATTTCATGTTCTCTGTGTAGCTATATCTTCCTACTGTATTTTCCACTGCATGCATCCGATGAAGTGGGTTTTAGCCCACGAAAGCTTATGCTCAAATAAATTTGTTAGTCTCTAAGGTGTAGGGTGACCAGACAGCAAGTGTGAAAAATCAGGACAGGGGGTGGGGGGTAATAGGAGCCTATATAAGACAAAGCCCCAAATATCGGGACTGTCCCTATAAAATTGGGACATCTGGTCACCCTACTAATATGCCACAAGTACTCCTCTCTTTTTTCCCAGCAAGAATGAAAGTGAGCGGTAATTCCAGATAAGGACTACAAATCCCAGAGATCTTAGCAGGGTCTCCTCCCGCCCCGTTCAGAGGCTGATGAAACTGAAAGTGCCGCAGTAGCGGCGGCTGCTTCAGGCCCGAGAGATTCTTTCACCTTCAGCAGCTGTGCGGAGAGGAGGGGAACCAGCGGGTGGCGGGAGGCAGACAAAGAGCGTGAGCTTTAAAACAGTGCGACATGAACGGAGGAGTGGATTGTGCCCTCTCGGAGGAAGTGATCGATCTCACCAGAGGACCATCAGGTACAGAGTTAAAGATGGGGGCGGGAGGTTGGTTTGCTGGATGTGTGTACTTGTGATCTGGCGAGGAGCCTGGTCCTGTGTAACTCACTTGGCTTCACAGCTGCCAGGAGAGATCCGGCCTGAGGCCTGTATAATCCTGGCACTAGTTTCTAGTAGCAAAGTCATTTGCAAATACCTTCGGGGTGGAAGAGAAATCCAGGCAGAAGGAATCTGTCTTGTTTGGTTTTAATAATACCCACAAAACTTTGCTTTTTAAAACGTACTTGCAGCTTCTCTGGATGCTCTGGGGGAGGGGCTAATGGTGCATTGCACTTTGATTCATATGCTTATAAAGAGATTTGCTCATTGCTCAGTTATATTAGCCTTGTACAGTGGTGTTGGCTTGTACTGCAGCTGAAAAGAGTCTATAAATACAGTCCCCACAATTAAAAGGGGCTGGGGCAGGGGAAGAGAATGCAGCTGGATTTTCTTCCATGGAAATACAAGTATGGCTCTGCTTTTTTTAAAAGGAAGAACTATGGGGTACTTGAGGTTTAACCAGATACTGACTCTAAACTGCAAAAAGAAAAGGAGTACTAGTGGCACCTTAGAGACTAACCAATTTATTTGCGCATAAGCTTTTGTGAGCTAGAGCTCATTTCTCACAAAAGTTTATGCGCAAATAAATTGGTTAGTCTCTAAGGTGCCACTAGTACTCCTTTTCTTTTTATGGATACAGACTAACACGGCTGTTACTCTGAAACCTGACTGTAAACTGTAATAGGGTTCTCCTACCCCCCCCCCCCGGAGATATATTGTTTGTTTTTATCTCCTAGAAAACAAGGCTGAAAGGGAAGCCCTGGTGTTGAGCAGGCATGTAACTGTGTATTTGTGCTACCAAGCCATTAATGAAGGGGGGAAGGGGAAGAACAATCCTAGAGCTGTAAGATAATGCAGCCAGTAGTGAAGTAGTCCTACCTTGCTTGGAGAGGTGGGAGAGATGTTGCTGTTTGTTAATTCTTGGCACTTTGGCCCTGGTTTTTAAAGGTATTTAAGTGTTCCTGTACTCAGTGTTATGCCTAACTGATTTAGGAGTCTAAATCTCATTTCCAAAAGGGATTTAGGCACTGTCAATGGGATTCCTAAATGTGTAAGTTATTGGCAAATGAGATTTTAGGCTTCTAAATCAGTTAGCACAACACTGAGTGCAGCAACAGTCAAGTGCGTTTTAAAAATTCAGGCCTTTGGCTTTGTCCAGACAAAGACCTGGTCTATGCTACACAGTTCGGTCAGTGTAAGTTGCCTTGTGTCAATCAAGCTGTGGCAGTGTCTTCACTTAAATTTGGCTCCTGCTGATCTAAGTGTCTCTCTATGCCCATTTAGTAACCGCACCTCCACAAGCAGCGTAAAGTCATGGTCGATGTAGTTAGGTCAATGCAGTGTCAATGCCTATGTCGCTTGTTATTGGCTTTCAGGAGCCATCTCACAATGCCCCACACTGAGAATACAAGCGCTCCTAGTGCGGACGTGCACTGTGGATGCAAGGAGCCAAGTGTGCACACATACAAACAATTTAATAATTGTGGTGGCAATTTTTCCACTCAAAATTGCCCACCAAACTCCTTGTGGTAACCGTACAAAATACCCTCAGACACGCTGACTGTTGGGCTTTTCTTTTTTAAAGCCTTTATTTAAAGAAATTTAATAGTATGGCTGAAGTGTCAATTGCAGACAAATTCACCCGTAACCTACTGGTAGCATAAAGAACGTGGTGAATATTGAAGCAAAACATGACTGACATTCCCACAGCAGACAAGGCCCAGAACTTTCAAAAGTGGCCCCTGCTTTTGGGAAAACAGCACGGGTTTGTCTCTTAGACGTGTGGCGCACCCCCAGCTCCTGTGGAATTCAGCTGGCTGCACAATTGCTCTGCATTTCTGAAATGGACACACTGGGCACCCAAAGTCAGTGGCCACTTCTGAAAAAGTTGGTCAGGGTGACAATGTACCACACTAGCTGCTTTGTGTTTACTGTTGCTGTTTGGTGGGTTAACTAAGTAGGTAGCTAACTGTAGTGTGGGTAGTAAGGGAAGGGACAGGGAGTAGGGTGGAGGATACAGAAAAATTAGCTTTTCTATTACAGCCCTGGGTGCTATCACTGGGTCAATCAAACTTTTTTTTTTTTCCCCTTCAGAATGATTTTTTTAATTGCATGATCAAAACTGCAGTTAGCTATGTGCCTGACTCAAACTCCTTAATCCAAAGAGTCACAAATATTGGGGGAGTCTTGACTCTGGAACTGGACTGCATGGCTCAGGGCTCATCTTTAATTAACATAAGTATGAATGAAAATCTGCCAGACCTTCAATCCATACCAATGCTGTGTATGGCTAGTGACCGGTTTTGGCTCCAGTCATCCTTTGCAGAGACTGGAACACCCACATCTGTTGCAGGTGTCAGTGTTGTTTTTCATAGTGAATCTAGTTCCAGTGAAAGGTACTGTCTTGACACCCTTGAGAGATGAAGTCTTCTAGCTATCCCTAGAACAGGTACCACATAAGTAGCAGTAGTGAAAACTTCCCTCATCTTGTCCTTCTGGTATGCTGTGATCCAAAACTGAAGTGACTGACTACAGAAGGTGGTACTTCAGTCTCTGCAGTCAACCCCTCATGAGGGGATCTGAACATTTCAAAATCTTTTTTTCTTGATTTCTCTTGGTGGTACCATCCTACAGCCATAAGAACACTTCATTGTATAGAATTGAAGGGGAACAGAGTTTAGGAAGACTATAGAAAGCAATCATAACTTCTTCATGAATATATCAGAGGGATAAATACGGGAGAGGGAGAGGAATTATTTAAGCTCCGTACCAATGTGGACACAAGAACAAATGGATATAAACTGGCCACCAAGAAGTTTAGACTTGAAATTAGATGAAGGTTTCTAACCATCAGAGGAGTGAAGTTTTGGAATAGCTTTCCAAGGGAGGTAGTGGGGGCAAAAGATCTATCTGGCTTTAAGATTAAACTCGATAAGTTTATGGAGGAGATGGTATGATGGGAGAACATGGTTTTGGTAATTAAATATTCATGGTAAATATGTCCAATGGCCTGTGATGGGATATTAGATGGGGTGGGATCTGACAGGTTTCAGAGTAACAGCCGTGTTAGTCTGTATTCGCAAAAAGAAAAGGAGTACTTGTGGCACCTTAGAGACTAACCAATTTATTTGAGCATGAGCTTTCGTGAGCTACAGCTCACTTCATCGGATGCATTCCACGGTATGCATCCGATGAAGTGAGCTGTAGCTCACGAAAGCTCATGCTCAAATAAATTGGTTAGTCTCTAAGGTGCCACAAGTACTCCTTTTCTTTTTGGTGGGATCTGAGTTACTCCAGAAAATTCTTTCCTGGGTATCTGGCTGGTGAATCTTGCCCATATGCGCAGGGTTTAGCTGATTGGCATATTTGGGGTCGGGAAGGAATTTTCCTCCAGGGCAGATTGGAAGAGGCCCTGGAGGTTTTTTGCCTTCCTCTGTAGCATGGGGCACGGGTCACTTGCTGGAGGATTCTCTGCTCCTTGAAATCTTTAAACCACAATTTGAGGACTTCAATAGCTCAGGCATAGGTGAGAGATTTTTCGCAGGAGTGGGTGGGTGAGATTCTGTGGCCTGCGTTGTACAGGAGGTCAGACTAGATGATCATAATGGTCCCTTCTGAGCTAAATATCTATGAAGTTAGTTCATGAGCACCACTATTTTCTGGATTTCCTTAAAGTAGAGGAGATATATATGTTTTTTGGGATTTGATTTTTGTGTTTTTTAAATGAGAGAGAGAAAGGGGAAGAGGAAATCTTAGGTTTTTAAACTCCCTACTGAAGGTAGGTATGACCTGAGTCTAACAAGTTTTCACATTGACTTATGGTAACAACTTGTTGTCACTACTAACCTGTCTAATATTTCTGTCCAGGACTTTGTACTCTGCTCATAACATAATATCTAGGTACCTGACCTTGAATATGGGCAATCTGATGGTCAAAAGATGAAAGACACCATATCTCCAGCTCAATTCAAGTGTGTGAGGCTGGTGTACAGTTGTTAGGCTTCTCCTTATCCTGGTTTTGCTTCAGATGTCTTAGCACTGCTGCTTTGGTGTCAGCATCAGGGCATGATTCAACCTGCTGATCAAACTCTAACTTGCTAGATGTATGCCTTGGGGCTCATGCTGACTTGCAGTTATTCTTGTACATTAGAGAACACTCTGACCTGAATTTATTTGCTAGCACTTGGTGTCTTAGGGCCTCTGGCTCTTAGCTATGATTGTTGATCCACTTATAAGGGATAGATATTTTATAGAGTTAAATAGCAAGATAATCTGTAGGGTCCAAGGTGTCTTCATTTCCTCATAATATCAAAGCACTTATCACATAGTTGATCATTCACTTATTTGGCAAAGTTCAGGTGCCTGTACAGTTTAATCCTTCTCTAAATATGAATGTTGACTGTGCTTGCAGACTGTTAAGATGGGTACAGTTGCATCTCTGGCAAAAGTTTGTTGAATAGGAAGAAGTAGTTAAAATGGCAGAGCAGTATGTTTACACTGCTCAAAAATCACATTTTATGGAATGCCAAATTATATTCTAGATTCATCTGGCAATATTTTGCCATTTGGTGTCTTTCTTAGCCTGTAGATCAATGTCAAATTTCTCTCCTTTGAAAAGGAAGAATTGTGAAACCTGCACCTGTTATGAATACAGTAGATTCTACTTAATAGCAACCTGGATATTAACAACTTCCAGTTAATAGCAAAATTTTCTTGTGAACCAGTTCTCTTCCGTTGATTATAATGTTGATGGGATTCAGATACAATAACTTCTCACTTAACATCGTCCCGGTTAACGTTGTTTTGTTATGTTGCTGCTTGTTTAAAGTTGCGCAGTGCTCCCTTATAACGTAGTTTGGCTGCCTGCTTTGTTCACTGCTTGCAGGAGTCTCTGAAAGAGCAGCCCGTCCTCGTGGGGGTTTGGAACCAGGGTGGGCCAGCAGCCCCCCATCAGCTCCTCTAATTTCCCTGTAAGTAGGTGTGTGGCTGGGCAGGCGCCAGCAGGCTATCCATTGCGGGCAGTTCAGGTGTCCCGCTGCCATGTGCTGCTCCTGCTCTCTATCTTGGAGCAGCTCCCGGGGAGCCTCCTGCTTGCTGTGCAGAGGGGAGAGGGAGGGGGCGCTGATGTCAGGGTGTCTCTCTTCCCCTGCTCCTGTACCCCATCTCCACAGAGCTGGGGGAGGGGCAGGGGACACAACAGGCTGCTGCTTTGTCTGAACATGCTGATCTACTTAAAAGGGCAGCGTACTTAAAGTGGCGTCAGCGTACTTAAAGGGGCAATATGTCTCTGTCTCACACACACAGAAAAACACACATGCATCCACTGGCACTTTAGAAAGTCAGCGCCTAGGCAGCTGTGTATATGCTGCCCAGAGGAGGGAGTGGTGCGCTCCAGCAGGATAGCATGGGTTCATCATCCCTTTCAGTTTCCGCAGGGAAGTGTTTGCAGCCACTGCCATGCATCTATTTGTTTCCTCCCTCCTGCCTGACACCATGCTGCCTTGTAGAGCGTAAGGCTACATTAACAACAACGTGTTAAGCCTTGAGGGCTCAGCTGAGAGCTAGTTCATCATTTAGCAGCAAGGCATTCCTTGGGAAATATCCCACCCTGTGACTCCTCCAGCTCAACCAAGCTTCACAATCATCATCACTGTGTACAGTATTAAATTGTTTGTTTAAAACATATACTGTATATAATGTCTTTTGTATGGCGAAAAAAATTTCCCTGGAACCTAACTCCCCTATTTATACTAATTCTTATGGGGAAATTGACTTAGCTTAACATTGTTTCGCTTAAAGTAGCACTTTTCAGGAACATAACTACAACGTTAAGTGAGGAGTTAGTGTACTGGCAACAGCATTCTACTTATTAGCAATTTTTTTTTTTTAAGAAAGGCTCCACCTACAGGCAGGTTTGTGGGGCTGAAGGCAGAGAGGGGAGTACAGGGACCACCTGGCTGCCGCCCCACAAACCTGCTTGCTGCTGATGCTCAGCTCATCCCAGCACTTCCTTCTGGGAGAGCAGGCCTGCAAACTTGCCAGCAGATAGCGCTTACCTCCTTTTGTGGTCCCTATGCGTGGGCAGGATTGGGGAAGGGAAGCTGTGGGCAAAGGGGGATAGCTGCAGTCCAGATGCTGGAACTGCATGGTACCTCTTTCTGTCCCTGTGCTCTCCCAACTGCACCCTGCTGGGGGACTCCATAAGGAGGGAAGTACTGGGATGTGCTGAGCTCCCTCATCTAGAGAGTACATGGAGAAGTATCATGCAGCTCCATGGGCCGCCAGTGCTCCCCATTCCCTGGAAAGCCCTGGCGTTTCAGCTGCATCCCTGCTGCTGTCCTACTCACAAGCAGGCTTGTGGGGCTGCAACCAGGGAAGGCCTGTCCCAGCACTTCCTTCCCTGGCTACTGCCTCACAAACCTGCTTGCCACTTATTGGCAACTGCTGGTTAATAGCAACTTTTTGCTGGCAACTGAGGAGCTGCTAATAAGTTGAATCCACTGCACTTGTTTCTGGTCACCAAAAATATCCCTCCTCCACATTTCCCAAACTGTGTCCTCTGATAAAAATGAGTCTTCTATATTTTGCCTTGATTGCTGAAAACCTACGAAAAATCTCACTTTTTTTTTTGTTCATTAGTGTTTCTATCACTAGAATGGGATCCTCTGATGTTTCTGGTAAATCTTATCTTCCTCTCAAATTTTCTCAGTCACTGATTTTTCTCTGTTCCCAGATTACTAAGCTTCAAACAAGCTGACAAAGCATTTCCCATGGTTTTTGCCACAAAGTGTGCGGTATCTCATTCAAGTATCTTTTAAACCAGACGTTAGTGCATTAGCAACATCATTGCCTCGCTTCTCCCAAACCCTGCTAGCAATTCCATCCTCTCCCCCATTTGTCTGAAGCTGACAGGAAAGGGAACAAAGACTGGGGAATGTCAAGGCTGCCATTAGTGTTGCTGTATTTATCAGCCTGTAAGGGCACTCTCTGAACACTATGGCTCACCCCAGACCCTCTGATCTCCTATAACTGAGCTAAAAAGCCACTTCCAAGGCGGAACAAGCTAGCTTTTATTTGCCATTCTGTTCACCAGTCTCCTGTCTCCTATTCCTCTACCCAGTGCATGGAGGGAGAAAGCATCAGCCTGGTTAAGTGTGCGTCTGGGACTTGCTTTCAGACCATGCTTGGAGTAGCTTCTAAGTAACAGGATCATGTCAGAAGGAGACTGTTTTCTCCCTTTCCTCCCTCAGATGTTTGGTATGTCTGCTCCTGACTTCCCAAGTTTCATGCTGCTGGATTGTCTCTCTCCTTATTTATTTACAAATATTTTGTTGCATTGTGGTACAGACTGTGCTCTAGCAGTCTATGGGGCTCCAGCCTTTGAGTTCAGTCTGTTCTTCTGGATTAGACTAAACAACAAGTCTGAATCTTCCAATGCATTTTAATCTACCACCTGGTTACAGCTAGAGTTCTGTAATCAACTCTATTTTTAACAAACAAACAAAACTCCAAACTGCCTCAATCAGGCCATAATTTCCATTTCAATTTTTTGGTGTGGTTTGTTTTGTTTTTTTTAATCCCCTAGTCCTTTGAATTGATTTCCTGTCCTGTTTCAGATTCCAGGGACAATACAAAGTGCTTGCACAGTTGCTGCTGATGCTTACATAAAATGTGAAGTGGCTAAAAAGTCTGTCAATTCAGTATGTCCTTGGGTAAAACTCTGCACTCCAATACCCTAGGGCCTGATCCAATGACTTGTAAACATTAAATCATGGTTAAATACAGGACTGTAAGTTGAGTGATCTAGGCTCAGGTAACCTCTTGGTGCCTCAGCTTCCCCATCTATAAAATGGGAATAATACTTCCTCCCTCACAAAGGTGTTGGGAGGCTTGATTCATTATTGCTTGAAGCTAGACCTACAGAAGGGTCTATTGTGAAATGTAGAGTCTTTTTGTTGAAAAATAGTTAGTTATTGATGAGAAGGTGTCCTGGGAAGTGAGGACTGGAGAAGGTACTGCTGCATTTCCCCCCCCCACCCCAACTACAAGAATGTCTTATCTACTTGACATTCTCTATTTCCTGTGTGTCTCAGGATTGGGCTTTAACATCGTTGGTGGGACAGATCATCGGTACATTGCTAACGACAGTGGCATCTACGTCAGCCGGATCAAAGAAGATGGGGCTGCCGCCCTTGATGGCCGATTACAGGAGGGAGACAAAATTTTAGCGGTAAGTCACTCCCTGGGAGGCATGTGTTTGAGGGATCAGGGAGAGTTTTGGCCAACAAGGAGATGAGATGGGACATTCTGTGGATCAGAGACCATCCTCATCCTGTTTTGCCAGAAACATTCCTTGGCCTCTAGGCTTGCATAGCTACGTGATGTGCATCTCAGCGTTTTTTTTATGGTACTGATGGCCTAATTATTTCCCCCTCTTTCCCCCCCCCCCCCCATTCTGGTATTTCAGTACTGTAGCTCCACTGACTTTTCTGGAGTTGCTTGTGATTTATATCTGTGTGGATGGAGAATTCATCTTTCAGTTGCTAGGTTTCTCTCCCTGGCATACTAATCAGTGTTGTTGGGATTATTAACCCCCTTTGCTCAGGAGGAGCTGGGCTTCCTATGAAGGGTTTCACTGGCTGCTTTCCTTGCCGGCACCATGGTTAAGGTGGATCAAATGTGGTCTGAAGATTTTCTTCTACTATTGTCAGTGATACGAGGTGATAGCACTTTAACAAGCAAAGAAGAACAAAGACTTCAGCTAAAATATGATGCATCATTTGTATGTTTAATGGATTTTCATTTTTTTTAATTTATGTTCCTGTTTTAGGTTTATATAAATAAACTGAGTGGCTTGTGTAAGTTGGCGCTTGATTGCTGAACCAAAGAGTGATGTATAAGTACTTTATCTTAACAGTGTAATAATTCTGGATAAGCAGTTGAAGGATGTAAATTCCGAGAAAGGGGAGGAATAGTTCAGTGAGATCCAATGGGGTATAACTAGGAGTAATGGGATGAAATTTAGCAAAAAAAAAAACTTATGCTAAGTATCAGGAAATACTTCATGATGGTGAAATCCACAAGGCTTTGAAACATTCTTCTGTGAGAAGTAGTAGCAGCCTCATTACTGTAATTATTTGAAACTGGACAGGACAAAGCACCATGGAATATATTGTAGGTAGTAATTTTGCATAGATCCCCTGGTTGGGTTGCTTACCCAGTGGGTCTTATCCATTTTTTCAAACCTTTTTTCCAATAAAAGTGTGTTATCTGTGAAAGCCAATAAAAGGGCCAAGGCATTCACTAACTGAAGATGCAGGTTTTTATTTCAGATTGCATGTTGAATTTGTTAATCAATATTCATCCATTAAGCATTAATACATCACATGCCACAGCATTTGACAGTAGATTAAGGTCACTGTATAGGGCATTCAGTGATCCAGCAAGACACCTGCTCTCAGGCCTCCAGCTCCCTAGCCATTGCCTTTCTTAAGAGAGACAGGGGTCTCCATCTCCTTCTGACCTAGGTATTTCCAGACTGCATAGTCCCCTGACTATACTGTGGTGGTCCCAGTACAAACCGGTTTCCCAAGCATTCCTGTTTGCTTTCTCTTCAGAGATGGTGGACAGTGTGACTGCCCACAGTTATAGGTACCCCACAGCTCTCTTTGTGTAAGCCTACTTGATTCTCCGGATAAGAGCACTAGAGAGAGAACCTACACACATACTAATACACTTACCAGAGATCACCCCAACCCTAACATGGGCTTTGGCTGGAGCAGTCCTTCTAAACCCCACCCAAGGGATTTTCTTGTGCTTCCAAGTTCATCTACAACTCTGAACAACCCCCCGTCTTATGTGGCCTCCATAGGCCTAATCCCTCCAACCCTACCCTAAGGACTGGAGCTTTCCATGGGTCCTGTCCATTAGCTGGATCAGGAAGAAGGCCCTGAGCCAGTTTAAAACCAGGCTGTTTATCCAAAAACACTTTCTGTGTCTGTGGGTTCCTGGAGAATCCAGTTTGAACTGGTATGTGTGCATCTGTCCAGGGGGATGGCTTCAAAGGGCTAATTACAGAGGGATTACATTCATATCCCCTTCCTCCTAGAGGAGTTATGTACATTTTTCACAATAACACATACACCGTTGTATTTTTAATACACAGGACCCCAAAGATATTAAACCCCATTTAATTAGGTTTAACTTTATTGAATTAAGTTCATTCAGGACACTGCAGGAAATTGTCCGTCACAGGTACGCTAAAAGTGTGCACATTCTAAAATTGGCAAATACTAACACATCTAGTCGACTTTCTTTTTAAAACTGCATATTTATCAAATGTTTAGTGTAAATGTGCATCTTTTGTCTATGCACAAATATCCTTAAATATTTAACTCATTTTTTAAACATGGTCTATCTTGAAGGAAATTTTCCAAGAATGGATCTGTCATAAATATAAAGGGAAGGGTAACCACCTTTCTGTATACAGTGCTATAAAATCCCTCCTTGCCAGATACAAAACCCTTTCACCTGTAAAGGGTTAAGAAGCTCAGGTAACCTTGCTGGCACCTGACCCAAAATGACCAATGAGGGGACAAGATGCTTTCAAATCTGGAGGGGGGTGGAAACAAAGGGTTTAGTCTGTCTGCGTGATGCTTTTGCTGGGAACAGATCAGGAATGCAGCCTTACAACTCCTGTTAAGTTAGTAAGTAATCTAGCTAGAAAATGCATTAGATTTCCTTTTGTTTAACGGCTTGTAAAATAAGCTGTGCTGGAGGGAATGTATATTCCTGTTTTTTGTGTCTTTTTGTAACTTAAGGTTTTGCCTGGAGGGATTCTCTGTTTTGAATCTGATTACCCTGTAAGGTATTTACCCTCCTGATTTTACAGAGGTGATTCTTTTACCTTTTCTTCAATTAAAATTCTTCTTTTAAGAACCTGATTAATTTTTCATTCTTCTTAAGATCCAAGGGTTTGGGTCTGTGTTCACCTGTACCAATTGGTGAGGATTATTATCAAGCCTTCCCCAGGAAAGGAGGGTGTAGGGCTCGGGGGGGGCATATTTTGGGGGAAGACGTCTCCAGGTGGTCTCTTTCCCTGTTTTTGTTTAAAACACTTGGTGGTGGCAGCATACTGTTCAAGGACAAGGCAAAGTTTGTACCTTGGGGAAGCTTTTAACCTAAGCTGGTGGGGACCTGCATGAAAGATCCCCCTATCTGTACCCTAGAGTTCAGTGTGGGGAAGGAACCCTGACAGGATCAATGAAGGATAAAACGTGAGGATCAGTCTTAGGGTAAATTAACACATTCTGTTCCAGTTCCTCTTTAAAGGTGTGGTGTTCGTGTGGTGTGGGGTTTTTTTTTTTTTCCCTCCCCCTTTTTTTTCTTAAGACTTTTTTAGAATCACAAAAGGGGTGTGTGTGTGTGAGAGAGAGAATATGTAGCTTTAAAATACATAACTTTAAAAAAAAAAAAAAAACATGTTAGGCTGTCATTAGATTCATTCCATCATAACCTTCTGTGGTTGGTTGGTTTTTTTTTTGTTTTGTTTTTTCTTTTTTTGCTTCCAGATAGCTTTTGCCACATCTCTTCTCTTTGGGTTGAAATTTCTCCTGCTCCATCTCAAATCTATGTTCAGGTTATTTGCAAAGTTTGAAGAAAACAGGTTGAACTGTTTTTTCGGTTATGCCAATGTGAAGGAAACTATATTTAAAAAAAAAAAAAAGACTTTGATAACTCAGATTAGCTCTTAAATTTCATACTTGACATGGATTTACTTCTCAGTGTTGACAAGGGTTTGTGAGGAAATTGGAGTTACAGGCAGATTCAGAATGACATAGCCAGTCTGTGTTGTACTTCATTTTCAGTAGATCCAGTTCTATTAGTTCCCCTCCCCCCTCAAAATACCATAATTCCTTTGACGTTGCTCTGCTCCTCCAAAAGATTTTTAAAAATCACTTATAGTAGAACCCATTTTATTTCAAGATGTTTCAGACCACTCAGCCTCAAAAACCACTCAAGTAAATACGGGGTTGGATAAGACAGGTAAGCAAATGGCAAGTAACTTTATAGCTGGATTGGATAAATGGAATTCTATTGTATTAAGCCCCTGCCTCAACTCTTGTATATCAGAATTAGAGGTAAACCCAAGCTGCAAAAGTTCAGAACCAACTTTGAACTTAGAAAAGTTTTAGCAATGCTTTGATCTGGGGTTTCGGTTTGGGATCCTCTCTAATTAGAATATACTGAGGACCTGCTTAATTGTCCGGTAACGGAAAGTGACTTTAGTGCCCTCTTGCATTTAGAATAATTCTGACTACCTAAACACGTGGCTGTTGTTTTGTTCTGCAGTGCTGAGAGAGAACTTTTGATCTCACAGCTACTAGTTCTCCTTTTTATTCCTGTGTTTAGATTAACGGCATGGACCTGAAGAACTTGCTGCACAAGGATGCTGTGGAACTATTCAGGAATGCAGGCTACAACGTTTCTCTGAAAGTTCAACACAGGGTGTGTATTGCCAGCTCCTGGTGGTTGTCCCTGAGGCCCTGCTACCATGGCTTGGGTCAGACTGAAGGAGAGTCCTTGTAGATCCCTGTCTGCTTTGAACCTCTGGAAATTCTGCTCTGCTTTCTACAGTGTATATGGTGATAGGGGGTGGGTGGGTTAGAGAGCATTGGTTTTGTATTTATTTAATGAATGCACCTTTCTGCTAGAGTGAACATTCAAGTTAATGAACATCAGCAGTATCCACCCATCATATTTAGTGATGCTCTGGAGGGGGCTGGAAAGTGTAGTATGGTGGAGTCCTGTGATCTTTTCTTTCCCACAAGGAGTTGGAGTGGTATGGTCCTGCCCTCTTAACCAGTCATTTTAACAGGCAAAATATGTCTCACTGGACAGTCAGATGAAGTCCCAAGTTTTCTCCCACCATCTTACATCCCTTCCCCCACAGACAACATGGCACCAGAGATTAAGGTATGGGAGAAGAGGCTGGGGCCTTGTGTGACAAGTCCTGATTCAGAATACAGCTCTATAGGTAAGGAGTAAAACCCCTCTAGAGGAGGGCTGGGTTGCACAGAAATTGGTGGTTGGATACTGAGCCTTTCATGATAGGCCGCTGATTCAAATCTGGCCCAGTCACTGGTGGTGGTGACGCTACAATCCGCAGGCTGTTTAGTACCTACGTGAAAAGAGTTACTGGACTCAGTGCAGTTCTAGTGGTCAGGTGTCCATGTGATTAAAAGCCCACCATGCTTGACATTCATTGTTTCCCTTGTTGGCAGTCTCAGCTGAGAGGCAAAAGACTCTCCAAAGGGGGGAGAGAGAGAGAACGCCCTTCTTATCCCTAGCTGTCCTCTCCAGGGTAGAGGCATATTTGTAGTGTCAGGAAAGAAGCTGCTGCTGCTTCTTAAACTGCACTAGTACTAGCTCTGGAGACCGAGGAATCCAAAATCCACTGCTGTCAGACTGGCACCTCAGCCATCACGAACGTTGATTTAAAGGAAGTGCTGAACCATCACTAGGGCAGCTCTTGTGAAATAGTATGTGAACGGGTCATGCTGAATGGTGGTGCGTGTACGTATGTGTACCACTACCATCTGCTGCATGGAATCTTACCTGTCCCAAGTGTGTGTTTTCTCTCTAGTGACTGGCTTACAAAGAGGATATGGAGGCATTGATACTACTCCTAGCTAATGGAGGTTTTTCTTTGACTCTAGTTGCAGAGTCACGCCTTTTGGAGCAGAAGGCTTCTGCATTCTAACCCTCCCAGGCCCCAACAGCATAACAGTATGCTGATGACCATGTCGTTGTGCGTGTTTCTAGAACCACACATTCCTCACATAAGGTTGCTGTCTGTCTTGCCGCAATTACCACTGATTCTCTTCTTTCTGTTTTAGTTGCAGCCACAGAATGGCTCAGCTGGTCACAGAGGAGATGGAGAACCAGGTGGTATTCCCCTAGCTGTCATTTTGGTGCCAGTGTTGGCCATTATGGTGGCTGCAGCGTGGGCCTTCCTGAGATATCGACAGCGGATGTGAAACATTCCCCTCTGAAGATCTCTGTGCATATATGTATAATATACACCCACACACAGCTACGTTATAATTTAAAGAGAGAGTCAACAGTTGTATCGTGGACTAATGCCAGAAAGGATTGTTGCCTCTTATAAAGCTGCTGCTGATGTTCACTATGTTCTGATTTTCTTGTGGGGTTGAGGGAGGAAGGAAATAAATGGGGAGGTGAGATTATCGTGTGTAAACAAATGTGCCATTTTCACTGATCCCATGGCATTTTTGCTATCTCCTTTCTTGCACCATGAACTTTCAAATACTTATTCTGTATTTTAAGATGTGACTTTGGGTGTGTTTTAAGAACAAAACTTTTATTTTGAGAATTTCCTTATTCTCCTCTCATTCCTCTTACAACCAATGATCCACCTCTCTGAATCAAGAATGAAGAGGAGTGTGGGGGATAGCTTATCGTTTGGGTAGGGTCGGGAGCGGGCTGGTTAAATAAATGCCTTTGAGAAATGTATACCATCGATTCTGGTTTCACAGTTAAAGTTCCCAGAGGAGCTGCTGATGTAAAACAAATTATGCAATATCAGTGAGGTGTTGTACTGGTCCTGGAAAGGCAGGAGGCCACATCAGGGAGAAGGAGAGAGGAGTAAGGATAGAAGGCTCAGGAATGAAGAACCAAAGAATTGTAACAGGAGGCTTTCAACAAAGTGCTAGGATACTGGAGAGAGACGCCCAATAGCATCAGAAATGGCCCAATGAGGGGAGAGAGAGGCCTCTAAAGTAGAGGTGAACCAACAGCATGTTTAGTCTATGGAGCTACCAGAAGCCCATCTGTCAGGTTACAGAATAATTTTTGGAGGCAGGGGGTGGGAATAGAACACTCATTTTACCCAGACTTATTGCAGCAGCTGACCTGCTATCTGCAGTGTCGTGCAGCCTGGAAGATCTTAGCATGACTTGTTCTGTGGTCTGGTCTTGGTCCATCTAAGCCATTGCTTGCTTGCTGAGGCTCTGACATGGCTGCTGGGGAGTTACACCAATGGGCGAACCAGGGGATGGAGGAGGAAGATGCAGGCATTCTGTAGCCACACTAGATTCTTCTTTTGGGGGGCAGAAGGCAGACGGGGAAGGCTTGGTAAGAAAGGTGAATTGGCAAAAAGTCATGCCTTGCCACAAAGGAGAAAAACACCCCAGTAGGCTTTGTTGAACAGGTTGCTAGTTCTATAGCAATGCTGCAGGAAAATGAGCAATACCATGCTCCTATGAGAGAGTAAAGCTGGCTGGTTTCTAGACTGAAGGAAGCCAGAGTGTCTCTATTGGGGTAGCAGGGAGGAGAATACACACAGGATGTCAGTGCTTCAAGGCACTTTAATCTTTTTGTTTTTTAAATAGGCTGTAGAACAAGCCACTTCTAGGTATTTGATGTGGCCTCTGAATTGTGCTTGTTAGGCCACAGTGCCTGGAAGAAGCGTATGTGCTAGTGTGTTTAGTGAATAAGACTGTGCAGCAGGAGAGCATCTTTTCAAAAGCTGTGATTGAATGTTATCCGCAGGATTGTAACTCCTCGCTCTGTCGGGTTTTAAACACCTCAGTGGAGTAAGACCTGTTTTTCTTGTCTCACAGAAAGAATGTATTCTTTTGCAAAAAGAAAAGTGATATGTATTATCTGCATAAATGCCAAAAATCACATATGCAATATATGTATACAAACAAGAGAAACTGAATTGATGGCCCTCTCCACTCTTTACTTCTCTCATCCCTAACCTTCTTCTGTTTTTACAGGACACTTCGTTATACAAATATTTAGAATGCCACAGTATGACTAGCTGGAGATGTTCTCCTATAGTGATTAGATGAAAGCCCATGTGCTGTAGTATTTGACATTCCCATAGCATTGTGAAGGATCCTAGAGTGCTACACCAGCTATATACATAAAGCATCCCTTACTTCCTTGCACTCTCCTCCTTGCTGTGCCTGGAGAACTTTGCCCAAGGTTCCTAAGGCGAACCTCTGCTCTTGCCAAAAGTACTGCGAGATTGATTGATTTTTATTTATTTATTTATTGGCAGCTGTATGTGCAAAGAAGATGGTTTGTGCCCACAGTTCCATGGTTGATGGCTTGATTATGCATGCAAAGCAGATAAATGTGATTATCCACAAGAAGATGCCCAACTAACTCTTTGTGTGCACAATCAAGGCTGTACATTTTGTGAGTCTAGGTCTCTACTCGAACATTTGGCCACCTGTCCATGCAGAGGAAATGGAACCTCTTGTTATAAGGTGACACTTGCTGTCAGAATAACTTGGCCGTTTTGAATTTAACAGTTCTTCAGACAAAAATGTCCACTAGTAACTGGATTGATTTTTATACAGCACCGTTTACAAGTAGAAGCTACCCATGGAAAATGAAACTAGAACATTAAATAAGTTACAAACTCTCACCAGGAAATAGAACCCAACTTTTCATATTAGATTGAAAAAGCGACAGTTTTATGTTTGTGAAACTTGCAGAGAGCATGAATCTATCAACTGGATGTTCAGAAGTTTGGTACTTCCAAGATAGAAATGGAAAAGCAGATGGCAAACCATTGCTGGAACAGAAGAAAATATATGGCCCTGCATCATCTGAAGGTAAGATGGTGTTACAGTCCATCACTTGCAGGAATTGCAAAATAATTCTTAGTTTGACCGGCATTTGTGTCAGCAGTCAATTGCATAACAAGGATCTAGATCACTAAGGAAATAAGCAAATAAGGAGATTATGTAGAGCAAAGGAGCTCAAAGTGTGACACAATGCCCTTCCTTCTCCTCCCTGTGGCCAAATGTGATCTGTGGAGTCTGAAATATGTCCTATGACTACTCTCCAGTTGTGTATCCAATACATAGACTGGCTTATAGAGAGTAATAGGGCAAGCTGAAGTTACACCAGGCATGAATTGGACCCATGAACAGAGTGCTGTGAACCGCCAGTTCCTGTGGCAGTTGCTCTTTTTCCTTTGGCTATTTTTAGTGAATTCCACCAAAAAGCAATTTCTGTTCATAAAAGATGAAGCAACTAAAAGCAGGTATGGGGGGGTGGGTCTTTAAATATGTGCCTTTGTCAGTTAGGAGCATCTATCTGGCTCCCAGTTATCTGCTAGGGAGACCTATCCGCTTCTGAATACCCGAGGGGTATGTTTACACTGCAATTAACCTGTGGCTGGCCCATGCCAGCTGACTCAGGCTTGTGGGGCTGCTCAGTTGTGGCTCTGGGACCCTGTGAAGTGGGAGGGTCCCAGAACCTGGGCTGCAGCTCAAACATTTACACTGCAATTAAACAGCCCCTTGGCCTGAGCCCTGTGAGGCTGATTCAGCTGGCACGGGCCAGCAATGGGGGTTTGACACCCTGAGAGTCCAAGGTATACATCTTCATGTAGTAGTCAAGAACGCTGACTGACCATCCTGGAGAATAGAATTGCTTGTCTATCCCCCAAAACAATTGCAACATGGATAGTGCTTGTGCAAGCTACACCTCCACTGACCTTTGCCAGTATGTGTCAAGCCAGAACTGTGGGGGAAATCTATAAAGGGAGCGAGGCCACGAGAGGAAACTGGCTTTATTTTCTGTCAGCCCTTGCCCTCTCTGCTGAGACTGGCTTACAAAAGTCTGAAGTGGTGTCAGTTGTGTTAGGGGTGTTGTGACATGAATGCCTGTCACAGAGAACTGGGTGGAAACCAGCAACTTCTTCTATGGTTGCTTACAAATTGAAGAGGTGTGGACTACACTTAAACTGAGACTGAACAAGCGATTAGTAGGAGCAGTGAAAAAGCAGGCATGTGAAGGTCGTCTGGTATCCTCCTCTCCCCTCCCCTGCATGCGTGCAAACACACGAGGTGAGCTTCAAGACAGTGAGTGTGTGGGAAAGGGCCATGCAGAGTGAGGCACTGAGGGGAGTGTCAATACTCATTTGATCTAAGTGAGGCACCCAAGGAGCCGATGCTGAGAGAAGGTGCCCTGTTTATGTAAATTGTAAAGAATTTTTTTTATGCTGTGTACGAGGGACTCTGGCAAACTGTAAAGAAAGTGCTGTGTGTATTGATTCAGAGTTAAAAGGGGTGACGGAAGAATACTTTCTTAAACTGTTTTAAAAACACAAGCAAGAAAGAGGAATTGATTAGGGGAAATCCAAGGGGGCACATCTAGGAGTAATGCCAAGAAACAAGGCAACAGAAAATCTAAGGTTGACTATCATGACCAACATCTCAGTAAGATATATTAGGCTCTGGAATAATCACTCCAGCTGTGGTGGAAACCTGCTGACTGGAGTCATGTGACTTCTCAGACTGGGAGTCACTTTTTCACTTCCTTTATCAGTGAACAGGAATCTTGCTTCTGCCTACCTGGCTGTCAGCTCTAACACCCCCAGCATGTCAGCCCTTGAAGCACTCTCTTTGGGGCTAGGCCAGCCTTTACTTTGCCTTGCAGGTTAACAGTAGGTGCACCCATGTCCCAAAGTCTCTTTGAAGCATTCCCCTGTGATATCCAGCTCCTGGTGCTGGCTTCTCACAGAAGTACCAGACTTCTTGTTCCCAAAGGAACAGTGTACACACCAGCTTCTGAGATTCAGCTGAAGGCTAGCACTTATCTTAACACCACAGCACTGAGTTATATTAATAGTAAAAACAAATTTATTATCAAAGTCTAGAGTCAGGAGATAGTAAAGAGATTGAAAACAAGTGGCTGCCTATAAAACAAAATCACTTTCCAGAGAGTAAACATAACTAACAGGTTAACTTTTTGTATAAAGATTATCTCACCCAAAGTCCTTTTCAGCATTTTCAATCAAGGTTGAGATTCTTTTTTTCATGAAGGTAAATGCACTGCCCATTTACTTCGTAGATGAAGGATAAGGGGGTGTAGTCTTTGTCTCTTATTACCGCCCCCCCCCCCAAGTTCATTGTACTCAGACAGGATAACCACCCATAGCTCGTTTTTTTTTTTTTTTGGGTGGTTTGCTAATATCTGACTTAATATGTAAATTCTTTGGTGAACAAGCATGTGCAGACCAGTATTGGGATGTTCCTGTAACCTCCCTTGCCAGCTGGCATTAAGGGCCTATTGGGTCACATCATTTAAAATGACTGCACAAAGCACTGGAGCAGGTTGCAGGACCATTTTACCTCTGCCTCTAGTGGAATAACCCCACCCCCCCCTCTCTCTGTAGAGTTGCAGCTAGCTTCCTTTAACTTCCCTCCATCCATCCAAGCATGACTGTCTGTTACTGAAGCCAGTGGAAGAGGTGACAGAATAATTTTATCTCCATCCAAACTGGAGACCGCTGCTTTCACAGAAGTGAAAGGAAACACTCTGAGCAGGTCAAGTTATTGCTCTACACATTCTTTGTCCACGTTTCTCCACTGCCTACAGGGGAATTCAGCCCTGTGCCAGCAATAAGGCTGACCACAGGACAGAGGGGAGGTGGCTTGTGCTTCCACCATTTAGGGGCAGTCTCAGCCCCAAGTGGCCTAGAGCAGCCCTCAGGGCTCTCCAAACTGGGCCTGTGCCGCAGTGCGGAAGCACTGGAACGCAGCACTGCTTCAGCCACTCCTCCTCCCACTTATATGAGCCTCCAAAAGCCCTCTGCCCCAGCACACCCTGCAGGAGAGAGGGTGTGGTGCTGGCTCAGGCCTCTTACACTGGGAATTTTCCCTGTGTCTCTGGGTAGCTGTTTTGTGGCCCCTTAGCTGGTGCAAAGGAGCTTCAGGGCCACCATCAATGGGATTCCCTGAAGGAAAATGTGCACAGGTTTATAGTTCAGACTCAAAAAGTTACCCAGGAAGCTTGATGCAGAGCTGGGAACTGATTCTCAAGGATGGTGTAGGCTGGCAGGCTGTTTTACCACCCAGGGAAAGGAAGCAAACTCCATGGCCAAGTCCTCTTTAAAAGCCCTTTCCTCTGAGCCAGGTTTATTATTTATAACAAAGGAAAGAAACAGCTCAACTGAAAAGATGCTAGTCACAATCCCCAGAAGTTTTTCCTGGTCATAAAGAGCTGAGGAGGGAAGAGGTATTCTCTCCCCTGGACCCAGCTTCCTCTGTTTTATATACCCCACCCAGCCATGTGATAGGCAGGGATCCCTTAACCCTTTCCAGGCTACTGCTTTACTTTGTCTCGTTTATATATTACTCAAAGCATAGAGCTTCTCAGATACCTCAGTTCAAATCTCTACATCATTTACCCAACTCTAGAATGGGGATAGTAACGCTCAAGGTCCTTTGTCAAGTACTTTGATATCTATAAATAAATAACCACTATTGAACTCCAAAGCACTCCAAACTCCATGTTTGTTTGTTTTGTTTTTTGTTTGTTGTATTTTTAGAAGCGGCACTTGGGGTATTAGAGCTGTGTAGCGAAAGCTAATTCTGTCTCATGGAGGATTTTGGAATTAGATTTCACTCTGATTATGAAGGGAACTCTCTAAATTTTGAATTTCTCCATTAAAGGGAATGGAGCCCTGGCTCGGGGATGGTCTGAGTGGCTGGCTGCTCCAGGGCTACATTCCCTTGAAGCCTGGGCTACCAAGGAGCTGGGTGCACAAACTGACAGCAAACCAGGCAAGGTTCTGTCAGAGCTTTTAGCAAAACTAGGAGTGGCTACAAAATGGCCCGAATAAAGCAATGCTCTGTTAGCCCTGGTCTACACTAGGACTTTAGGTCGAATTTAGCAGCGTTAAATCGATGTAAACCTGCACCCGTCCACACAATGAAGCCCTTTATTTCGACTTAAAGGGCTCTTAAAATCGATTTCCTTACTCCACCCCTGACAAGTGGATTAGCGCTTAAATCGACGTTGCCGGCTCGAATTTGGGGTACTGTGGACACAATTCGATGGTATTGGCCTCCGGGAGCTATCCCAGAGTGCTCCATTATGACCGCTCTGGACAGCACTCTCAACTCAGATGCACTGGCCAGGTAGACAGGAAAAGAACCGCGAACTTTTGAATCTCCTTTCCTGTTTGGCCAGCGTGGCAAGCTGCAGGTGACCATGCAGAGCTCATCAGCATAGGTGACCATGATGGAGTCCCAGAATCGCAAAAGAGCTCCAGCATGGACCGAACGGGAGGTACGGGATCTGATCGCTGTTTGGGGAGAGGAATCCGTGCTATCAGAACTCCGTTCCAGTTTTCGAAATGCCAAAACCTTTGTCAAAATCTCCCAGGGCATGAAGGACAGAGGCCATAACAGGGACCCGAAGCAGTGCCGCGTGAAACTGAAGGAGCTGAGGCAAGCCTACCAGAAAACCAGAGAGGCGAACAGCCGCTCTGGGTCAGAGCCCCAAACATGCCGCTTCTATGATGAGCTGCATGCCATTTTAGGGGGTTCAGCCACCACTACCCCAGCCGTGTTGTTTGACTCCTTCAATGGAGATGGAGGCAATACGGAAGCAGGTTTTGGGGACGAAGAAGATAGCTCACAGCAAGCAAGCGGAGAAACCGGTTTTCCCGACAGCCAGGAACTGTTTCTCACCCTAGACCTGGAGCCAGTACCCCCCGAACCCACCCAAGGCTGCCTCCTGGACCCAGCAGGCGGAGAAGGGACCTCTGGTGAGTGTACCTTTTAAAATACTATATATGGTTTAAAAGCAAGCATGTGAAAGGATTACTTTGCCCTGGCATTCGCGGTTCTCCTAGATGTAGTCCTAAAGCCTTTGCAAAAGGTTTCTGGGGAGGGCAGCCTTATTGCGTCCTTCATGGTAGGACACTTTACCACTCCAGGCCAGTAACACGTACTCGGGAATCATTGTAGAACAAAGCATTGCAGTGTATGTTTGCTGGCATTCAAACATCCATTCTTTATCTCTCTGTGTTATCCTCAGGAGAGTGAGATATAATTCATGGTCACCTGGTTGAAATAGAGTGCTTTTCTTCAGGGGACACTCAGAGGAGCCCATTCCTGCTGGGCTGTTTGCCTGTGGCTAAACAGAAATGTTCCCCGCTGTTAGCCACAGGGAGGGGGGAAGGTTGAGGGGGGAGTCACGTGGTGGGAGGAGGCAAAATGCGACCTTGTAACGAAAGCACATGTGCAATGTATGTAATGTTAACAGCAAGGTTTACCCTGAAAGAGTGTAGCCACTGTTTTATAAAATGTGTCTTTTTAAATACCGCTGTCCCTTTTTTTTTCTCCACCAGCTGCATGTGTTTCAATGATCACAGGATCTTCTCCTTCCCAGAGGCTAGTGAAGCTTAGAAAGAAAAAAAAAAACGCACTCCTGATGAAATGTTCTCCGCGCTCATGCTGTCCTCCCACACTGACAGAGCACAGACGAATGTGTGGAGGCAAATAATGTCAGAGTGCAGGAAAGCACAGAATGACCGGGAGGAGAGGTGGCGGGCTGAAGAGAGTAAGTGGCAGGCTGAAGACAGGGCTGAAGCTCAAATGTGGCGGCAGCGTGATGAGAGGAGGCAGGATTCAATGCTGAGGCTGCTGCAGGACCAAACCAGTATGCTCCAGTGTATGGTTGAGCTGCAGCAAAGGCAGCTGGAGCACAGACTGCCACTGCAGCCCCTCTGTAACCAACCGCCCTCCTCCCCAAGTTCCATAGCCTCCACACCCAGGCGCCCAAGAACGCGGTGGGGGGGCCTCCGGCCAACCAGCCACTCCACCACAGAGGATTGCCCAAAAAAAAAGGCGGCTGTCATTCAATAAATTTTAAAGTTGTAAACTTTTAAAGTGCTGTGTGGCATTTTCCTTCCCTCCTCCACCACCCCTCCTGGGCTACCTTGGTAGTCATCCCCCTATTTGTGTGATGAATGCATGAATGTGAAGCAACAATGACTTTATTGCCTCTGCAAGCGGTGATTGAAGGGAGGAGGGGCGGGTGGTTAGCTTACAGGGAAGTAGAGTGAACCAAGGGGCGGGGGGTTTCATCAAGGAGAAACAAACAGAACTTTCACACCGTAGCCTGGCCAGTCATGAAACTGGTTTTCAAAGCTTCTCTGATGCGTACCGCGCCCTCCTGTGCTCTTCTAACAGCCCTGGTGTCTGGCTGCGCGTAACCAGCAGCCAGGCGATTTGCCTCAACCTCCCACCCCGCCATAAACGTCTCCCCCTTACTCTCACAGATATTGTGGAGCACACAGCAAGCAGTAATAACAGTGGGAATATTGGTTTCGCTGAGGTCTAAGCGAGTCAGTAAACTGCGCCAGCGCACCTTTAAACATCCAAATGCACATTCTACCACCATTCTGCACTTGCTCAGCCTGTAGTTGAACAGCTCCTGACTACTGTCCAGGCTGCCTGTGTACGGCTTCATGAGCCATGGCATTAAGGGGTAGGCTGGGTCCCCAAGGATACATATAGGCATTTCAACATCCCCAACAGTTATTTTCTGGTCTGGGAATAAAGTCCCTTCCTGCAGCTTTTGAAACAGACCAGAGTTCCTGAAGATGCGAGCATCATGCACCTTTCCCGGCCATCCCACGTTGATGTTGGTGAAACGTCCCTTGTGATCCACCAGTGCTTGCAGCACTATTGAAAAGTACCCCTTGCGGTTTATGTACTCGCCGGCTTGGTGCTCCGGTGCCAAGATAGGGATATGGGTTCCGTCTATAGCCCCACCACAGTTAGGGAATCCCACTGCAGCAAAGCCATCCACTATGACCTGCACATTTCCCAGGGTCACTACCCTTGATATCAGCAGATCTTTGATTGCGTTGGCTACTTGCATCACAGCAGCCCCCACAGTAGATTTGCCCACTCCAAATTGATTCCCAACTGACCGGTAGCTGTCTGGCGTTGCAAGCTTCCACAGGGCTATCGCCACTCGCTTCTCAACTGTGAGGGCTGCTCTCATCTTGATATTCATGCGCCTCAGGGCAGGGGAAAGCAAGTCACAAAGTTCTATGAAAGTGCCCTTACACATGCGGAAGTTTCGCAGCCACTGGGAATCATCCCAGACCTGCAACACTATGCGGTCCCACCAGTCTGTGCTTGTTTCCCGAGCCCAGAATCGGCGTTCCACAGCATGAACCTGCCCCATTAGCACCATGATGCATGCATTGGCAGGGCCCATGCTTTCAGAGAAATCTGTGTCCATGTCCTGATCACTCACGTGACCGCACTGACGTCGCCTCCTCGCCCGGTATCGCTTTGCCAGGTTCTGGTGCTACATATACTGCTGGATAATGCGTGTGGTGTTTAATGTGCTCCTAATTGCCAAAGTGAGCTGAGCGGCCTCCATGCTTGCCTTGGTATGGCGTCCGCACAGAAAAAAGGCGCGGAACGATTGTCTGCCGTTGCTCTGACGGAGGGAGGGGCGACTGACGACACGGCTTACAGGGTTGGCTTCAGGGAGCTAAAATCAACAAAGGGGGTGTCTTTACATCAAGGAGTATTTCAGGCAGGACTTCACAGAGGGTTCCAATAAGAAATGGTGCACCTAAGTTATCGTTCTTATTGGAACAAGGAGGTTAGCCTGGCCTCTGATTGATACATGGCTAGATTTACCTCGCTGCACCTTCTCTGTGAGTGACTGCAGTGTGACCTAGAGGAATGAGTCCCCTAGACAGGGGAGGAGGCAAATGAGTACAAAACAAATCTGGTCTATTTCTTGTTTTGACCCATTCCATCTATCTTTTACATCTTTGGCTGGCAGTAGACGGTGCAGAAGGACTGCATGCCATCCACATCTCATGGCTGCTCGGCAGAAGATGGTACAGTACGACTGCTAGCCATCCTCATCTCTTGCCTGCCTGGCAGAAGATGGTACAATATGACTACTAGCAATCCTCATCTCTTGCCTGCCTGGCAGAAGATGGTACAGTACGACTGCTAGCAGTCCGTGTCGCCTGCCCGCTCACCATAAGACAGTTCAATAGGACTGACAGCAGGACTAAAGAGAATGACCTGGTCAAGTCACTCCAAATTTAGTCCCTGCGCCCATGTCTGCCCAGGCGCTCCCAGCCGACGTGGCCAGGAGCACCTCGGACACGACGAGGACGACTACCAGTCGTATTGCACCGTCTGCTGCCAGAAGGCAATGGGTTGCTGCTACTGTGCAGCAAAGCCGTACCGCGTCTGCCAGCACCCAGGAGACATAGGGTGACAGTTACCTGAGCGGGCTCCATGCTTGCCGTGGTATGGCGTCTGCACAGGTAACTCAGGAAGAAAGGCGCGAAATGATTGTCTGCCCTTGCTTTCACGGAGGGAGGGAGGGAGGGAAGGGGGGCCTGACGATACGTACCCAGAACCACCCGCGACAATGTTTTAGCCCCATCAGGCATTGGGATCTCAACCCAGAATTCCAATGGGCAGCGGAGACTGCGGGAACTGTGGGATAGCTACCCACAGTGCAACGCTCCAGAAGTCGACTCTAGCCTCGGTACTGTGGAAGCGCTCCGCCGAGTTAATGCACTTAATGCACTTAGAGCATTTTCTGTGGGGACACACACACTCGAATATATAAAACCGATTTCTAAAAAACCGACTTCTATAAATTCGACCTTATTCCGTAGTGTAGACATACCCTTAGAAATTTTCTGTTCACCTTTAGTAATCAAGGTTCAGTGGCTTGGAGGGGATGCACTATGGCTTTGGAACCAAGAAATCTGGACTGTAGATTCAGCTCTGAGGTTTACTCGGGGTTTATTTTCCGCACTTTTTACCAACACTTAAAAGTGAAGCTAGATTGTGCATGTATAGCAAAGTTTTGTGTAGAGACCACATATATTTTTGTCAAGCTGTGCAGGGATCATGATTAGCTTAGGCCCTGCTGCTCATGCCTGTGATTGTTTGTTACTCTGGTGACCTGTTCATCCAGTGGTGTGTAGGTTGTCCTTTTTCATTTGTTTGTTTTTTTTAAGTATATGTTTACTGATCCTCACTAAATAAAAAAACAAGATGAACAGATAAACTTTGAAATCCCAACACAAACTTGGCTTCAAAAGCCAGTTAAGGTTGGTAAGTCACTTTTGCCAGGATAGCTTATTCCAATACAGAACCACACAACACTATAAAAGAAACAGAAATGATGTAGACAAATGCAAGTCATACATACAATTATATTATAAGCTGATGTGTTACACTTTTCCTGTTAACCTACTTGTGATATAACTGAAAGCCCTTGCATGGGTGTAATTTATAAAGTTATATATGGAAAAGTCTAAAAATTGGGCAGTAACAGACTGCAGATCTCAGGGATGACTGAAGCGGTGATATTCTAAACAAAAAGAGCTCTCCACCATGCTCAGGGCTGTTTTCTTCACTTCAGGCTGACTCCATGGATGTTCCAAGCTTCATAGTGACACATAGACCAAATCCTGGAATGTTCTTATATAGCGTCTCATGAAATAGCAATTGATAAATAGGATATATCAAGGGTTACCATAGTCGCTTAAGACAATATTTAGATAGTATAAAGCAAGCCCCATAATTGGTGAGACAGTTGTGCTGTGATAAAATATAAATTTCTTGATGAGCATAAAAGCTAGGAAAGGAATAAATTAAGGACATCAGATTTTAAGTGATTGAGTTTTGTAAATAATGCTTGCGACGGATTCGGTCAGAGACCCCCTTGGGACTGCCACCTGATGTGCTGAGACTAACTCTGAGCCCTTTTCTTGGCCAGTTTGGGCCTCCAGAACCCTGCCTTGCTGAGCCAGACACACCAGTCTGCTCCAACACAGACCCAAGGTCTGAACCACACACCCCAAAGCTGCGGACTTAACTGAAAACAGCTTAAGAAGTGCTCCTGTCTCCAGCACCCAGATACCCAGCTCCCAATGGGGTCCAAACCCCAAATAAATCCATTTTACTCTGTATAAAGCTTATACAAGGTAAACTCATAAATTGTCCACCCTCTATAACACTGATAGAGAGATATGCACAGCTGTTTGTTCCTCCAGGTATTGATTACTTACTTTGGGTTAATTAATAAGCAAAAAGATTTTATTTAAGTATAAAAAGTAGGATTTAAATGGTTCCAAGTAATAACAGACAGAACAAAGTAAGTTACCGAGCAAAATGAAACAAAACACGCAAGTCTAAGCCTAATACATTAAGGAACTGAACACAGTAAATCTCACCCTCTGAGATGTTCCAATAGTCTTCTTTCACAGACTAGACTCCTTCCTAGGCTGGGCCCAGTCCTTTCCCCTGGTACAGCCCTTGTTCCAGGTCAGGTGGTAGCGAGGGGATTTCCTCACGACTGCCAGCCCCTTTGTTCTGTACCACCCCCTTATATAGCTTTGGCAGAAGGTGGGAATATTGTGTCTCTCCGGGTCCCCGCCCCACCTAAATAGAAAAGCTTCAGGTTTTAGATGGATTCCAGTACCAGGTGACGTGGTCATGTATCCTGTGAGACCCGAAGCCTTCATTCTTCCTGGCCTGACTCACAGGAGGGCTTGCAAGTAAACAGAGCCATTTGTCATTATGCAAGGCACTGCATTTAGCCGTATGGAGTGGAAATCTATCAACTGCATGAAAAAACTTGTACAGATACAGACAGACATCATCTTCCTTTCCAAATGCAAACAGATGGACATAGTACCAAAAGGACTGAAGGTAAAAAAAATCCATTACAATCTACATACCACACAGACTATGCTGACAGCTTGTGCCACACGCTCTCAAAGAAACTGCAGAACGACCTGATCAACATCCTCTACAGCAAACAGGGAAAGATAAAGAATGAGCTCTCAAAAATGGATACTCTCATAAAATAACAACCTTCCACACAAACTTCCTCGTGGCTGGACTTTACTAAAACTAGACAAGCCATTTACAACACACACTTTGCTTCTCTACAAAAGAAAAAGGATTCTAAACTACTACATGCCACAAGGGGCCACAGCAATGGTTCCCTCAACCCACCCAGCAATATTGTTAACCTATCCAACTATACTCTTAGCCCAGCAGAAGCAGCTGTCCTATCTCAGGACCTCTCCTTCTGCCCCTCCACCCCCACGAACGTGATACAGTTCTGTGGTGACCTAGAATCCTGTTTTCGACTCAAGGAATATTTCCA